CTGTTAAAGGCCCGACTTGAAGAACACCCGTGGCGATAATTTAAAGCCACTGTCTAAGCCCGCATACCTTTCCATACCCTGGCGTGTGGGGTATGATAGTTTTCTTCGACTGACTGCTGCACCCACCATGGGAATCACCGGTGTCTCTGGCGAGCATATGGATTTATGGATACCTGGTTAAATATTATTCTATATTTTTCAGGTGAGTTACTGCCAGGTTTTCTTTATCAACCTACTTGCATCCTGTATATATTACTATTTTATGTGCGATTTCATACCATATTTATCTTACCCGGCAAGTTCCTTTAACGCAAACACGTTTGTAATCATTTTTTTAAAAGCAAGTTAAGGCCAGGTATAGGTGTGTATGCATACTACATAATGTTTATAAGTATTCCTGCAAGCAAATTAAGTGTATCGAATTTTATGATTTCAACACAGACCAGACCCTTTTCGTGCCTGTAATTTAATTCTCTCCACCGATCTGTTTTATTTGGTTTCCAAACATATTTAAGTAGCCTGAGCGATTATGCAAATGAGTCTTGTTTGGCTCCAACCTATCAAAGGATTAAGAATGCAGCTTCTATTGTGGGGTTTACTTAATACAAATCATTTTTCTGAGCATATGGAATAGCTAATCGATAGCTGAAGAAATGGATGTGTATTTATATAATATATATACCACATCTGAATACAAAAAGAAAGCAATAGATGCAGATTTCGACCGCAAAATACCCCTTGGATCATTGCATATTTTTCGATTGATAGAAATATTTTTAGGAATTTTTAGAAAAGCCAAACTGTTAGAAAACATGAATCTCAGATCAGAAGAGCTTTTAAAAAATGTAATTTTAAATTAATTTGAAGTTGAAGTTGAATCCCTCGCTCCCATCTGCCATTTAAGTTAATTTTCTAACACAAACTAAATTTCCCTACATATTCTTGAATGATTGCCAATGCTTTCTATTTATTTAAGATTTTCTAAACATTTTCAATTGACTGCAAATAGTGGTTACGTAAACAAAAATAATGACAGAACCCAAAGACCATTAATTACATTTGAGCATGTTACGTTTTGTAACTAATTATTACAGCATAATTCTTCTCGCAGCTGGAGCTGAACGTTAAGATTTGTCTACGCCTTTCATGTTGCCGCTAATCTTCAGTTTCCACTAATTTGACTTAAGCAAATATAATTAAATCGGGTAAAACTGCTAGTTTTGTATATTCCGACGGGTGGCGGTACCACTATAAAGACTTATTTTTCGTCTAATGAGAAATGAGAATAATGAAATTTAAAAGAGTGAAGGGATGCAGGGTGCAGGCATACTTGAAATTGAATTTTTTTTAATGAAAATGTTCTTATTTACTTTAAATTATAGATTAACCAGAAAGAAAACTAATTTCGACAAGCCTTGAAGTTAACAATTCTAGCATTAAGAACATTACAAAATATATATAATATATTTAAGAATTTTTTTTTATAATTTTAAGGATGTAACCCTTTTTAAAAATTTTGAAAAATATGAGAAACAATTTTGATCTTCCGGATGTGCCTAGAAAGACTCTCCTGTTGGTGGTGATCAAAAATATATATGATTTATGGGGTCGGAAACGACTCCCTTCACTGCGTTACTAGCTATTCCTCTTCCTATATACTTTTAGGATGTTTTTCATTAATTATTTAAGAAATCCAAATCCAAATTTTCCTTCACAAGAACTAGTAGACTATCCATTGATTGTCTAGTTACCTTTTAAACTCTTCTTTAATCAGATTATTAACTTTTAAAACTACCAGCTTGTGTAAATCAAAGACGCATTAAACTTTTATTAAATCCTCCTACGTACAAAAATATAACAAGTTCCCTTCTTGAATATAATAAACCATCCATCCTTTCCTGTACATTATCGGAAGTCTTTGAAGTCACAATTTGGATTATTGTTTCGAATGAGCCTAGCAAATATTTAACGCTTCAAAGAGTCTACACATATATATGTACATATAAATGACCAAATAACTCAGCTGGTGTGTCCATTAAGCCTTGTTCGCTGTTACCTTATTATTATTGCTCCCTTTATGTTAATAACCCGAAAGTGTTTTAAATTTCACGCATCTTGCTTGTTAAATACATACATGTGTTTATTGCCGCAAGAAACAAAAGGACCGAAACTCATGATACCCTTTGCCTTTGCCCACCAATTATTTATATAGCGGCAATAGGCTATAGTGAAGCCATTTTGAGAGAATTTAAAATTATATCGATGGTCATAAAATAAATCGCTTACGATTCCTTAAACTGCAAATTAGTACAGATCTAAGTTTTCCCCCTTTTAACTGGCAAGATTATTTTATTCGTGTAAATGTGAGGAACAATTAAAAGGGAATTAAAATTTCAGCCAATGGTATTTCATTTTTGGACTTGATCAGATAACGCGGTCAGATTAATTTGGTCAAAAAAAATGGAAGAGCAGCCTGCAGGGAAGTAAAGAAGTTGAGAAAAGTAAGTTTGTACAAGTAGGTAGAGGTTTTTTAAGTTTTTGTTTTTTACCAAATATAAAACCAACAAAAAATGGTGTATCTAATAGACATAATAAGATAAAAGGGAAGTCAGGCAGTTACTCAATAAATAAAGTCGACCTCTATTAGATTGTTCGTGGAATTAATTTATAATTTAGATTTTAAATATAATAAGATCTTATATATTGCAATAAAATTGATCGAAAGCTGAAGGGTGCAAAACAATTGTTAATCAAGAGAACTATTGCTGATTTTTTTTTACCTTTTAGTAGATCATTCCTACGATATAGTCATACATTTTTAATAAAATTAAGATGTTAAAATCGTCTATAATATCTATAATACATTATAATATAAACACGAAAAATATTGCAGATGAGATAATAGTAGCAGTCAGCGGACATGGGTATATCGACTGGTGATATTAATCAAGTTCTTTCTTTATAGGGTCGGTGATGCTTTCTTTGCTACGTTGCAAACTTCTTTAACTTTAAATACTCTGTAAAATCGATAAAATTATAAAAAACTGTTAGTATTATGAAATCTCTGGAGGTTCTTAAAAACATATATACATAAAAGCACAGATGTTTTGCTGATTTTCTCAGATCTGCATACCAATTGGTCGATCGCTTTTTGCAGGTATTCAAACTTTTGACTAGTTATAAATATCCTCTGCAAGGGTATATAATGTAAACTGGCTTGACTTACGAGTCTTGAATGACTAATGCACAGTGTCCGTATGCATGAGCATCTAGATCTTTAAGAAAAACTAAAGATCTGTCACGCAAGTTTTCGTTTGTTTCCGGTTTTGTAGAGTAAAGTTTGCCATATGTGTATACAGATTAATTTTAATTGGTGTTGACATATTAATCGCAAATGAATTTGTATACCATTAAATAAGGAATTATAATTTGAATCTGAATAAAAGTTCACTTCCTTAATATAATATAAGTTACTCTCCTTTGGGTATTAGACCCTCAGGGGAGTAATTCATATTATACATATATTAAAAGTTTCTTGCCAAATTTAAAGTTATTTTGTATTTGATTACTATATCTATTATTTTTCTATACCAATGCTACATTTTCTATGCTCTATTTAAGATTAAGTTCCTATCTGTGGTCGAATAAATATTATATCAACTTCTTACTTAGGTTCCAAGATCGAAATAAATTAATTTAAGTATGTTGTACGTCTTGGATGTTAAACGAAATATTAGTGACTGACCTATTTAGATAATAGGGGTACTACCAAAACTCTCTTTCCTTCGACGCTATTTTAATTTTAAACGAGTTTACCAAACAAAATTATCTTAACTTGTCATGTTACCTTTCAGCCATGTTCTTTTTGAGACAAATTAGTGACTGTCGCCATTGTTATTATCGATCTATAGGGTTTAATCAATCAATTTAATCTTTTAATTCTACAGAAAACATGAAATTAAAGCATTTTATAACAGTTTAGCCATTTCTCTCTTAAATAAAATATCAAGCCGTAAATTTCAAAACTAAAATAAAAATAATAATACACACTTTTACCCAAAATCGCTTAAAAAACCGCTTTTCGTTCATTTATTGAGAAAATCGCCCTAAAAAAATGGGCAAAGGCGAGAAAAATTAGCGCCAAAATCAATAAAAGAAACGTTCTAAAATTTAGGCCGATTATTTGTTGAATGTAGAAAAGGTTTCTTGTTTTTACACGGTTCGCCCAAAATATTGGAAAACCATTTTTAAAATTAAAGCTGCGTTTTTCTTATAATTCGAAATTTTTTAATATTACGGCTATTTATTCGATCGTTAAAAATAGTAAAAATTGTCTAAATTTAAGGACAATTTTTTTTAATTTAAGATAAAAAAGTTTCTTTGGGGGAAATTACTATGAAATATCATATATTTAATAGCACATATCTAATAACATATATGTAGTAGCACAAACAAGTATCTAGCTTTGTTCGCCACTGTCTATACTTAAGACCGGCGGGCGGCAGCCGTCCCTTCATGCCAGAAATGTTAGATCTAGTTGGGAATTATATATGCACACGTGTGAGATTTTTTGCACCATTTACTTTAGGGCACTTACACCATGTTTTTATGAAAAATTGACCAGCAAAACAAAAAACAAGTGTAACAGACCCTTATGTTATGAAAAGATCTAAACAAGGAAAACCGTACAATAAACGCCGTAAAACTTAAGAAAAATAGAAGAATTAACCCTACAATTTTGTATTTATGATAGAAGAACGTAGATTTAGGACGCTTTTCCCAAATATAGAAAAATATTTCTATGAATGTACGATCTTGAGATTGTTCAGATGGAAGTATATTTAACCAATCTACTGATAACCACCAAATTCGCTTAATGTCGTCATTTTTTAAACAAAATGGTCTCACTGAATATCAATCACTCCCATTACCTCTAAAGATGTTCAAGACAATTCGCCAATTGAGAAAAATATCACAAAACACTATTTTGTTCAGTTATTTAAATGTTTATATTCTTCACAAAATGATCGATCTACGCACTAGGTTTGATACAAATAAAATAAATAATTTACTAGTACGGATATGTTAAATAGAAGCTATTAAAATCTGTATAACAAGCCTTTATTTACATGCCCTCTACGCCTAGGTATGCCATATGTTTTGGTCCTATTACAATTAACCTTAATGCGAAAGGAACTACGTTTGGATGGATATACATAGATATCGTTCGGAAATAATGCTCTATACATAATCTATATCGTACGCATATCGTTGTCTATTCTAGTCTGGACCTCGGGGGTCCGATATTGCTGCGCCGGGGCCACGAGAGTGACGTTATTGTAGTAGATGTTGTGCATGTTGGCGATGGGCGCCGCCATCATGAACAGCGGATGGGATATAGCCAGCTCGTAGGTGGTGGCACTGCCATGGATCCCCGAGGCCTGCAGTCCGGCCACGTTGGCACCCGTCGCATAGTGCAGAAAGGGGACATGCGCCCCGGCATTGATCGTGTGCAGCGGCGGCAGGGGATCCTCGGTGCGGCTGGATCGGCTGGCGGACATATAGTCCTCGGAGGCAGAGGCGGGCGTGGTTGGATATCTGGCTATTCCACTGCACTCCACCACATCGATGTCCACGCGATCGTCCTCGTCGTCCTCGTCCTCGGAGTGATGCTCCGGCTTGTCGGGCGTGATCAGACTCTCTATCGTGAAGGATCGCTTGGGCCGCAGCTCCATGTCGGAACTGGTTAGCGAGGGCAGATTGGACAGTCCCATGTCCGAGAGATTCGTGTGCTCCGCATTGGCCATGGAGCTGGGCATCACATGAGCGGGCAGACCAACGCCCTGGCCCAGGGAGTTGGGGGGTATGTGGTTCGGATTGGGAGTCCTTGGCAGCGGATCCAGTCTCATGGACGCACTGTTCATGTCCAGGGGCGCCATATGCGAGGCACTGCCACCGTTCCGCGTGGTGAAGAAGAACCGATTCAGGTTGGCCAGAGCCGTGAGCTCCTCGTTGAGCAGATCCTTGTCGTTCTTGTGCAGCTTAAAGCGCTTCCGCCGGCGGAGCAGGCTCCCGTTCTCGAACATATCGAAGGCCTGCGGATGCAGGGCCCAGTAGGCACCCTTGCCGGGCCTGTCCGGCCGCCGGGGAACCTTGATGAAGCAGTCGTTGAAGCTGAGGTTGTGCCGTAGCGAGTTCTGCCACCGCTGAGTGTTCTTCCGGTAATACGGGAAGCGGTCCGTGATGAACTTGTAGATATCGCTCAGCGGCAGCATTTTCTCCGGCGAACTCCAGATGGCCATCGCGGTGAGCGATATGTACGAGTAGGGGGGCTTCTGTTCGCCGTAGGATTCGCGCGAGGGCCTTGGCATTATTACACAGTAGTGGACAGTGTTCACTTGTGGGGACACATCATCACTTGGCAGGATTCATCACCAGGTATGTATGGTATAGGTATAAACACGTATTAATCCAATCACGCATTAATTAAATTCTTATTTTCATTCTCCTTCGGTAAATAGCCTAAATTAATTGACGGAGGCGGAGTGACGAGAGTTCCGGCGCAGGAAGCAAACCCGCCTGGGAGCTACGCAGGCGATACGACATGATGGGCGATACGACGACGATAGCGACGGCAAACGAGATCGCGCGAACTGTCGGCAATAAACTCTGCACAAGAACTACGCTCGTTATAAGCTCCGGTCCGGCGACGACACTGGATGTAAAAGCACTCTCACTGAGGTTTCCCCGGCCTGGCAAATTACCATCAAAAGCTGAATGCGAATACGTGAGTGGTAGTGGCAGCAGAGCACCGTCGAGCAGCGCAGCGCAGCCGGAGCTGGAGCGCTCGAGCTGGAGCTGAAGCGGATTCGAGGCAAAGGCAAAGGCGAAGGCGAAGATAGCGATAGAGAGGGAACAAAACAAACGACAACAAACGAAGAACACGGCACACAAAAAATTACTGTTTCAGCAGACTGGCAGACGACGTGCCGGTTATTGTACTAAGTGAGCAATGCCGTCCCGTCCACCACCGTACAACCAACCACAGTGAGCAATGCAATCAAAATATAATCACTCACATCATTGCCCCCGTGCTCTCTCCCAATCACCGCGATGCGAACATGCATCATCCCTCCGCCACGGCGAAACTTCAAAGCGGAGCGGAGAGCCAAAGCAAAGAGTCTGAGATTTACTAAACGAATAAACCAGTCTGACCAGACCGCACTACGCCGCGCTCTGGCGAAGAGCTAATGCCCCGCCGGTGGTTGCGGCAACTACACGGCGAAAAAGCGCCCTATAAAGGGGGTAGAAATTATGGTGAGTTTTTCTTTTTTCCGAATTTACTTTTCTATATTATATTTTGGTATTTAGGAGACATTTCTAAATGTTTGTGACCTCTTAAATATGATATTTATACTCAATAGAACAAGAAAACTTACTCAAGTAGCAGCTGCCCTAAAAAGTATGCTTTGTTTTAGGAATACTATTTTCTACGTGTATTTTCGTTATCCTTTTCCTGCTTTACAGCTTAAATATTCTTCTATATTATTATTTATTGGTATTCAAATTTATAATAATAATAAAAATAATAAATTAAGCTAAAAACCAATATACACACGTTCACCATAATATATTTCTCAAACTAAAATCTTTTTTGTTAATTTTTAACCTGCTATTACTAGTTAAACTCGGAATACAAACTTGGGAATTATAAGCTCACTTTTTAAACTTAACTCTAAAAATACAAACTTGGGATTTATAAAGAAGCTGTTGTAGTTCGAATCCCTAGATCTATAATTTTTTTCCTCCGTGCATGAGGGGAGTATCTCGTCGGGTTTTATTTAGCTTTACCTTTGCTTTTGGCCGTCGCCTCAGCCAGCTCCGCGCCACTCCTCGCCGCTCCGGACAAAAGAGCAGCCGCCCCGGCAGCTGGTTCTGGCCATGGCTGGGACTGTGGCCGCGGCTCGACTTGGGCTCTGGCTCTGGCTCTGGCTAACGGCCCAATGCGAGAGAGGTGTTGAAAAAGAAAATTACAACCACTTTACCGATTTACTGATTTTACGTTTTCATAATCTTGTTAGTTAATTTGCCTGCTTGGGACTCGGCCATGATTCCACAGAACGTAAAAGCCAAAGCACATTGCCACCGCATTCGGCGAACGTGTGGGTTTGGGTCTTGCTCTGGCAATGGGGCTTGGGTTTGGGTTTGGGTTTGGGTTTCGGTTAGCGTTCGGGTTTGCTTTTGGACTGCTGCTGCACTACTGCGGCCTGGCGAGAGACGATTTAACACTAGGATGGATAATTGTCTTTAATAGTGCCCCTGATAGACCAGCAAATCGCAAACTAGGAGTGTGGATGGGTGTATTAAATCGCATTAACTATTAATGAGTCGGCATTCTTCTCATTTCCAAGTGTTAATTAATAGCGGCCGGGTATCACGACATCCAAGTAATGGCCAGACAAGCTGTATCTTTATCCCAACTACTCGTTATTGGGTATTCCGCCTCCCATGCTCAATACTAAATCAATAAGACTTGGCATAAAGCTAAGACAAATAATTGCTTTAGCCGTTAATTGTGAATGTGAAAACATATATCCATATATATTTACATATATATATTTCTTATTTAATTGAAATTCTCCATACCCATACCCAATTATTATCTTATTAAAAAACCTATGAGAAGCAAACAATTAACTACCGTGGGTAAGGTAACAATATGCCAGTAAACCATTAAAAAATTACCCGTAACAAACGGACATCGTAGTAAATTAAGAATTTATTTATCTGTTTATAAATAACAATCGCATTTGGCCATAATTGTGCCGTTCATAGCGATAATTAGGTGCTCGGTGAGCGAAGGTTAACAGCGATGTGCCGCCGCTGAGCCGGCGCAGCTCGAAAGCTGGAAGGGCGGCCCAGAGAGAGAGAGAGAGAGACCAAGAGAGACTGGTAATGGGATTGGGTGTGGGTTTGGGCTCAAGCTTGGGAGTGGGAATCGGAATGGGAATGGGTATCCGAATGGGAATGGGAATGGGAATGGGCATGGGCAGGGGTTTGGTACGGCAGTAACCACCGGAGAGGGATGGCACGACGACAACGACGATGACGACGCTATCGGATATCTCGCTCCCTTGCTTGTCTATACGAACAAAAAAGAAACCTAGGACGGGGATTGGCCATTTGCCGGTGTACGCTTGCCGGGGCGGAGCCTAAATGGCATTGTAATGTTAATGCAAGTGGACATGTATGAATATATGGTTTCGGTAGCACTTCTGATTAACTATTAACGAGCTTCAATACCTACAGAAATTCAATCAGTCCGTAAAATTACATGTTATAAATAATCAAATTACCGCCAAAGCAGGCCGTCTGGCTGGCATTGTCAGGCGTTTTCACAATGAGCTTATTTATAAATATGTACTTTGCATAATTTATATAATTACATATGTACACATGCAGCGAGTACTCGCCGTCTTAATGGATTTATTAAATATTTTGCCGATGCTTTCGCTCGAGTGCTTACGCAAGTGTGACAATAATTGGTCCCACGCGGCCATGCTGAATGCTAATAATATGGAGTTACCACCATTGCCATTTTCAACTCCTTTACAGGGGAACTCTAACCCTAAAAGGTATTCCACTCTGGCATTTGCTCCTTTATGAACTGTATACTAAATACAAATAGGTATATTTAGAGATAACCATGTAAAATGTACAAAATATAGATTATCCCTTAGATTATTGCAGAATTCCATGCAAATTTCTTAAATAAACTTTTTCCCTTGAAGACAATTTGAAAGAGTTGTTTTAAGAATAATTTTTTACATTTTATTGGTATATTAAAATCCTTTTTTACTTATTTTTGAATATTTAATGTAAAGCAAATATATATGTAAAATGCTTTTTAAATTCTGTTTTGAATGTCAGTTAGGGCTCTCAGAATATGGAAAGTTATTGAATAAAGTGAAAAACAATTTGATTTCGGATTTACAAATACAGATTAATTTTATAAAATTTTAATAATACGTTAAGGTTTCACAATGAATTTCAGTTTTGGTTAATTTTCTCATACTATTTGTTTTAATAATTAAATTAACTAACTAACTAATTAGTTACATCGGTTTTATATTCCAAGATCAGAAATCCGGAGCTACAAGAATTTGATGTTAATAATTAAGGGAAAAAAATTAATAGTTCTACCTTTACGGATCCTCTTTTTAACTAGCTGAAATAAAAATTATGTTGATTTTTATTTGTATTTTAATAAAAATAAGGGTGTAATATGATTATAAAATCATATAAAATTAAATACGATATTTAAACTTAATTTTAGTTTATAAGTGTAAGGTTTATTAGCAAAAACCGGGTAGAACTGAGCGAGGTAATTAAAATAATTGTGTATGAATTTATATTCTTATATCATTACTATAATTATGTTATATTAAATATCAAAATTTATTTAATTAATTGTCATCTTTTAAAAATATCAACCATTGCAAAATATCAACCTTTAAAAATAGTTAAATTTAAAATTTAAATAATTCCTGCTTAATTTTTCTGTTGCCTTTACATAATATAATATTATTTAAATAATTATTATTTTAGTAATCCAAAAATACTTTTTACAAGATTGAAAAAATGTTCTTTATTTGTCAGTTCCTCAAGGATAATAGATATTTTCGGTCTTTATCTATAAGAGATATTAATAAAATGTTGAGTTTCCTGAGATTAAAATCGTTTATTTTAGCACAAATAAAAGTGGTTGTTGAGATTTAAACTGTAATGTGAGCCAAAAATAAAACTTCTATAAACTGACTTAAATTTTTATAAGATTTTATTTTATATAAATTCAGAAAAAAGCGTTATTAAATGCTTATATTCCATTATCAAAAGTACAATAGTAGAACTACCCGAAGTTGCCAGTTTGATCAGACAATCTCATTAAACCTGATTAGAACCAACAATTAAAAGTTGTTAAATTCCGGAATACAAAAAACTTTCAAATTTAAAATAAATCCTGTTCCAAAAAGTAGGCAACTGTTTTTAGTAACTTAGCGACGGGGATTCTTATTCACGATTTTGTATCTCAGCTCTTATTTTGTTCATATATTTATGCTTTTTGTGATGTTAGATGCTTTGTTATTTATACAAATATATAAAATTTGAAGGTCTCCCTGATGTTTGCATGGGAACTCGCACCTTTTCCCTGAGCCCTGCCCAGCAGCCTTGTGGCCTATATTTGCCACTGGCAACCCCTTGCTATTTAATTTAACCGTGAATCTTATTTAAAATTTATTTAAAAAGCATTTACAGAAACACGAATAAGCATTCAAAATTGCCTAGCGTGACCGATGCGAAACATAAATTTACATTTTATACCGAACCATATTTTAAAAATAAAATTATTGCCGCCGCCGAGGCTGAGGTTGAGGCTCAATCAAACGCGCATACGTATTATGTTCGTACGCACACAAACACGGCGTAACAACAGATACAATCACAACAAATTTCACGCCAAACAATTACAAGGCATTATAAGATTTTTGTTAACAGAACAGGAGGGATGGTCAAGCTATTTAACCCGCAACCATAAATCTTTTCATACTCGCCCGTAACCACAGGCTCGGTCGCAGCAGTACCCACCCAGTGGGTTTGACATTTGCCTTGTAAATGCGTAATAATCAGGACATCCGACAAACAGAAAGTTACGCTTTAATGCCATTAGCCGCGCTCTACGGTTAACAGTTGTTGTTACAATCATCCATTTAATGCCGAACATTGCCGAAACGGAAACCAATGAAAATAAACAGAAAACAGAGATTCAGTGAGAGCCAAAACATGCCCATACCCCAAATTAAAAATCTATTTTTTCTTGTTTCGCTTTGCTGACAAAAATTGCCATTTACAGCATTCATTTTTTGCAGCTGCAGTTGCTCTCAATCACAAAATATAATGGACTATCGACTCCCAACCGCGGTTTCTTTGTGGATTTATTGAAAGTCTCGTTTTATACTCGCAAAAGACCATTATTAAAATGAATCAATAAGCCGATCGAACGTGTATTTTGGCTGGTTAAGTGCTCCTTGACCATCTTTTAAACAATTAAAAGACTTGAATCGGACAACGATTATTAATTTTAAGACAAAATTGAAATGAACTCAGGCATACACAATCATTAGTCTTCGGAAAGCCAAGAAGAACAATAATAATAATAACAATTAAAAGTTCATTACTAATACAAATTGATGGATGGAACGAATCGATTCTTGGATAAAGTCAATTTACTAATCTTTAG